TTTCGCTTTCCTGAAGATATCCATAAGGGATAATAAGTAAATATTACGTATAAAACATTTCCGACATACAATTGTCAAACAAATCGTAGATTTTTGTTGTCATGTGTTTTATATACATGTTGCCAATTTCTTATAGTAATTTATTTTACAATCAATACATAAATATAATAGTAAACACTAGTTTAAATCGTTTCGATTGTGTCAGAAAGAAGTGCATTTAGAAATATCTACAAAGTCATTTTATAAACTATTGGAAATAAGCGAAATCCATGTAACAAATATTCAGTAATAACTAATAATCAAATAATATCAAATAAGTCTAAGCATGTATATTAAATTGAGCAAGTTACTTTATTAATAAGAAGCATTTTATTGACAGACAGACATGACAGCAGCAACTCGATAAAAGAGTTTACGATTTATAAAAAGTTGATCTGATTTTCCTGTAATTTGCACGTGTATTTTGATTATAATTAAAAATATTCGGTTGTTCATTTCGACCTCTTACTTATAGATATTTCACTTTATAAGCTTGTTTGCACACAAATTACATTTAATTATTTATTCATTTTTTCAGTATAAATACGTGTGTCCATAAAACAAACCACGCTATATTTTAATATATTAATGTAAATAACAATAATTACTTTATTTCTTTTAAAGAAATAATTTATAAATATTTAAGCTTAACTATATGTTAAACTACAGTTTAGTGTGCGTGCCGGCTCGCCCCGCGGAGACGTAAAACATCGCCTGCGCATATTTTCAGCGCGTAATCTTTCAGCGTTCGGTTCAGTTGAGTGTTCAGTCGGCCGCACGCCCTCGAGCGGCGCGGATGTGCTCTGCGGCTATTTTCAATGTTGTAATATTAGCTGATAACACTTCGATCCTTATTGAGACGCGTTACACGAGCGGACAACGAATTCTTAAATTATATCGCGACTAATCTTATTACATCAATTTTCAAATACTTTTTATTAAATTTAAACGTTTGCCGCGTTTTTTCTTTAAAGTCTTGTGTTGAGAGTATTTACTTTGTGTTGGATTAAAATAGAACTAATCTAAACGACTTATAGAATATTATAACAGTTTGTTTTGACAACAACACACGTGATATGTATATATATATATAATAGTGTGATTCTCATTTACTTTACGTCACTTATATAAATGAATTAATGTTTATAAAATGAAGCGGAGTCTCGCAGTAAAATGAGATAAAAAGTTACAAAACCTTATACGATGGCAAAGTAACGCCAAATAGTAAATAAATGTCCAGCAACAGAAATATTTCTCTTCTGTTCAAAAACAACGACTGATTGTTTTCATCCAAAATATATAGGAAATAATAATTAAAAACCTAACAACAACATCGCGACATATTATTTGCTTGTTCTTTTATAAGATTCTTGTAAAGAGCAATACAATAAAATACTTTAAATTGCAGTAAACTCCACTGGATCGGAAATCGTTACAATTGTATGTCACAGCGGGCGGCGGGTGGAGTCGCAGCGACGACGCGTTGGCGACACGTTGTTCTCCACAATAATTGGGTTTTTGGGTTATTTTTTTTGTGAACACATGTATATTACAATACGTTACGTGTTGTGTGGGACCTTCATTGATACTTGATACATCTATTTACGTATTGTCGTCTTTATTTGTGACAATTTCCATCGCTGCGTGCTTTGGATGGTCTTTTCTTGCGGTTACAAATGTACTTCCTCTCCGTGTGAGCTCACTATTCTGATGCAATGGTCTGGCACTAATTATATATACTTATGATCTATCAATTGAATCGGCTAAAGAAAGCTGATTAAAAATAAATACTGAAATTATTTCTATTATTAAAGTTGAAAGAAACAAACCGCAAGACGTTAACTGAGACTTTTCTCATACTTTATGAATTTAGGAAAATAATAATATGTTCCCTCTTTTGTATCGTTCATGTGTAATGAGGTATGAAATAATATTCTTTAAATTAGCTCTCATTACATTGTATCGCAGTGGGTGCGGCGGTGCGGCGGTGCGGC